AAGTTAATGTCTATCAATTATAGATTACACCGGAAATTGACAATGTTACAGAACAGTGAGAGTAGTATCCGTTTCTAGTATACCAAAATGAGTTTTTTAAGAAAGCAAAAGAAAAAATAATGGAAAAGAAGAAACGTAAAGAAATCTCACTTCAACGATTTGCTCTTCTGTCCACCGTCCATGCTGCTGCATGAACAGTAATATCGTAGGATTGAGCTTCAAAGACCGTCGCTCCGGCAAGCATGTTGCCGACGCTAGCATACTATTCTTCACCAGTAGATGTGTTTTTGCCGACTGACAATTTGTCAACCACCTAAAATGACGTCTTACAAGCTCGGTGGCCAAAAATAAACCCCAACGTATTCGATAACGCCGAATCGTCGCAGTTCTACGCAGCGAAGAATGGAAAACATTGGAGACGCAAAAAGTAGACACAGCTCGCATGGATGGCGGTGGCGAGCGAGTTTCCAGTCGGTTGCACTTAGAAGCACGGGTCTCCGAGCCTCATTGACGCAATCCTCACACGCAACACAAAGTACTAATTTGTGTCGATTAGACGACGCGCGACATGGACACGACACGATGACATGCAAAATTTGGATTATGACGCAAACTAGATGACGTGTACATTTTAGATTATGACGCAATATTTGATGTCCAGTTGGACAAAGAGGAAAATCTGTTCAGAGACAGCGCCAAAACTGAGCTATGGCCACAAATGAAAAGCTGGTTTGCAAGAAGTGACTGCTAATCAGTTCTTATTTTTAAACACTTATTCGAGGCTTAAGGCCTCTGAGTGGTCGTTCGAGTATTAGAAGATCCAAGAATCTCCTGTTAATTCAGATAGATGGACAAGATTTTTCGAGAACCAGAACTGATGCTGCGTCTTAATCAGAAGGAGAAATGCACGGTTAAATAGTTTTGGACTATTCCATACATTGACAGTCAAATGGAAAACAACAATGGCTCACTGTTCGCTTAACAGCTGCGGCAATATTAAATTTGATATGAAAAAATGTGGTCTCGATGCATACATCTACTCGTTGCGAAAGTAGGCAAACAATCTGACACTAATTATGGTGCCAAAAATCTAGAAATCCATTTTGCGGCGGAAATTCTGCAATCAAGCGGAGCGGAAGGGCTGGAAAGGTATACGTTCACCGACGAGTATCATCACAGTTGCTGCAGCAGGAAAGAAAAGATTGAGAATTAGGGAAATATGGACATTATTGAAACCGTAGCCTATTTCAGGAGTATAAGCAAACTAAGCACGGCATCCTATTTAATGAGAAAAAACAGTAAGGCTCTATGTAAGTGTTTTTTAAGGTCGCAGCGAGAAGCTGTTGTAACTAGACGCTTACGAAATTGGGAAGATGGACCAATAATTTACAAATTTTCTTCGACTATGTGTGTAAAATTATATTGCATGACGCGCCGTCGCAAAATTCATTACGCGTCCTGTATGTAATCTGACGCTTATGTTTAAACGTGATAAACCACGAAAAGTGAACTAGCCGATGCTGCATAACGGCGTTGATACCACATCTTTTGAAAGGATTGAATACGAGCATCTTCTTGATCAGATCCGCGCACTCTGAAAATGGAAATGCAGTTGATAATATACTGGGAAAAGATTTGGAGTGGAAAACACTGTCAAATAAGAAAGGACAAATC